AGGTTCACCCAGACCCCGGCACGCGGATGCTCACGCAGCATGATTCACAGTAGCTAGGCGGGGGAGGCAGCGCGCATGTGCACCAACCCACGAACGGAGCTTTTAAATGTGATGTGTCCGCACGAGGGAATGCTCCTCAGCCACTGGAAGGACACAAGCCGCAGCCTTGAGGATGTGGAGCTCCGCGGAAGAAGCCGGGCGCTACAGGCCACGTGTCCCTGGTCTCGTCCATATGCAATGTCCACACCGGGCAGATCCGTAAAGACAGAAGGCAGACGAGGGGCTCCTAATCTGGGAGGGGGGCTGGGGCTGAGGGCTCACAGGTAAGGCGTTTCTTCCTGGGGCGGGTAGGAATGTTCTGGAAGCAGACTAGTGATGCCCAACATTGGAAATATACTAAAAACCATTAAACTGTACACTTAAAAAAGGGTGACTTACATTATGTGAGCTTCATCTCAATAAAAAGTGCAATTAAAAAAAGAGGAGCGGTGGCTCAGTCGGTTGAGTGTCCGACTCTTGATCTCAGCTCAGGTCACGGTCTCAGGGTCGTGAGATCGAGCCCCAGGGCGGCCTTCACGCTCAGCAGGGAGTCTGCTTGAGATGCTCTCTCCCTCTGCCTCTACCACTTCCCTCCCTGCGTGTGCCCATGCTTTCTCTCTTGCGTGAGCACGCTCCTTTTTTCTCTCTGTCTCTAAAATAAATAAATAAATCTTAAAAAAAAAAATAAAAAGAAAAAGAGAAAGAGGTGAACAACGCTTTGGAGACCTGGGAAACAGCAGAAGGTCTATGGGTTGTGTCAACAGCATCATGGGAGAGGGGCTGGCAGGCGTCTGGAGGACAGTGGCTGACAGCTGCCACATTGGGCAAAGGACACCCATGTGAAACAAGGCACATGTCCTCCACTGGGCGAATGGAAAACAAACCAGGCCACGTCCCCCGACACTGCCCCCCAGTGACCAACAGGAACGGTCCCAAGGGCCTCGTGCTGCCCAAAGAAGCCGCCCTCCGCGGCCCACTTTCTTCTCGGGCGACCTTCACTGAAGCTGCTTTGAAGACTTTGTCACGTCTCGTTCCACTCACGTGACGTCCTGGGAGGACAGAACCGCGGTCGTGGTGGCGGGCGTGAGCGCCGTGGACAGGGGCCCCTGTGCCGCCTGAAGGGCTTCTCTGGGGGGCAGGCTGGTGCACTCACACAAATCTACACGCGTGTTAAAACCCACAACACCCTAGGCCCAAAAAGGCACGTGGCCTGTGTGAGAATTTAAAAAACAAAACATATAAACTTAAAAACAAAACTTCCGTAACAACCTGGGCTCAGAGGAGAGGCATCGTGGGGACCCCAGATCAAGAAAAGGTGGGAGATCCCTGTCAGCATTTTGTTCTAGGAAACATCATTACACATGCACAGGACTGCACGGTTCCATGAGCCTGGCCTCCACACCCAGGGGGTCCAGTGCTGCACATCAGCTCCCGGAGCTCAGAGGCCCTGACGCACGGCCACACGCGTGCTTGCACGGTCTCGTCTGCTGGGACGTCACTTTTGGTGCAGTGGCTGCAGAGGGCTTTGCCCGGGGCCGGGGGTGCGGCGAGGGGGTGCTGGGCTGGGTTGGGGGGAAGCGGGATCTCCAAGCACACTCCAGTCCCTTGCGCATGAAGCCGGGCCCGGACCCCACGGCCACAGGCTCTCTGCATGCCTGTTTCCTCGGCTCTAAAACCGGGAGCAGAACGTCAAGACAGAAATAGGAGGTGTCCAGACTGCAGCACCCGGGGGACGAGTATCAAGCCTCAGTGCCTGTCCCACTGCGCTGTGCACCCTCACGCTCCCCAGGGGCGGCTGGAAGCCGGGTCCCTGCCCCTTCGCGTGCGGGTCTGCAGAAAGCTGTGGGTCTGGCCTAGAGATGACAGCCACGTCCTGGTTCCCCTGCAGTGGATTCTCTCCTAGCGGTGTGCAGATGAGGCAGCATCTTGCAGAGGACCCGTCCAAGAGTCAGTGGGGGGGTGGGGCCTCCTGGGTGTCGCCCCCCCCGCCCCCCGCCGCCGGAATAATGACGCCCATCCCCGGGGCAGCCACGTAGACAGAACGGAGCAGGGGTGAGTGGCAGGCAGATAGAGGCCCGCCCCAAATGTTTTCCACGTTAGGGGCTGACGCTGGCTCAGCCCCCGCCTCCCACTCGCGCTCCCCTAAGCACGCCTTCCGCAGTGCTGACCTTGCCCCTCCCTGGAGGCCTCGGCCTCGCCCGTGAAGAGCCGAGACAGGCCGATATCCCAGGGAACACAAACCTTTCTTCCTCTTAAACTTGGAATATTTGAGATTCCACAGGCCGCCCCGTTGAACTTTTCCAGAAATATTTCCCGAGCAGCAAATTCTTGACCCTCCTTTGAAAGGCGTCTTCCTTCTGCCCTGCTTTTCTGCTGCCCTTTGCCAATTCCATGGCCCAGAAACCTCTCTGGTTCACAGGGAGGCCTGCGTGCCCTGGAGGGCCCTCGATGAAAGGCTGTGAGTTTTCGACCTCTGTCTGTCCCAGGGCCTCTATGGAGATGGATTCTGAAGGTGTCACCCCAGGAAACACCTCCCCCCAGAAGCCCTCCTGATTACCACCCAACCCCGGGGCTGGGACCTAGTTAGAGACCTGAATTGCCCTCTCTCACCTCCTCCTCTTGGCCAACTCCTATTCATCCCTCAATACCCAGCTGTGTTCTCACTGCTCCCAGGCAGACTTCTCTGATGCCAGGCCTATCTTTGGTGCCTCCTCTGGGCTCTCCCAGCCTCTCTGCCCCCCTCTATCAAGCAGAAACCACACGGATCACAATCCGACAAACTGGGGTCAGTCAGTACGGTTCAAAGCCCTGCTTCTCTTTTAGCTAGGTGACCTTAGGGAAGTTCCTTAACTTCTCTGAGTTCAGTTTCCTTGTCTATAAAACAAGGTGATAACATAGCCTCAAAGTGTGTTTCAAGTGTTCAATAAGGTCATCTTTACGGGCTTCCCGGCGCTGCAGAAGGACTCTAGCTGATCACTGTCACGGCCGCAGTGCTGGCCGTGGATGCATGACCGCCTCTCGGCTCCTCGGCCTCCCCACTGGACCCAGCGCTCCCGGGGCACAGGAACCGAGTGTGGCCTGTGGGGCTGCCTACATCTGCTGAGCAGAGCGAGGCCCGTAGTCCCAGGGATGAGGCTAGAAAGCGGCTTCGGCCATCATGACAGGGAAGATCGTTGGAAGGAAGAGCAGCCTGAGCTTGGCTGGGAAACAGGGCTGTGGTCCACGTGGCCACCCCAATCCTTCCAGAGCATTTCCTTTCGCAGTGGAAAGTCAGCCCTGGCAACCTCCCCCTGCCAGAGGCTGAGGCACAAACACTGGCCTCCTCCAGATGGCCCCGGGAACACGGCGGCATCCCGGCCCAGCATGCTCTCCAGCCCACGGTGGCTGCTCAGACCCCAGCACACAGGGTGGCCCTGCTCAGCGCGAGGGGCCTGGCGCCCGCCGGGGACACAGCCGAGCAGGTCCCACATGGGGACCCAGCCCCTGCCCTCCAGCTGGGATGCCACCCATGTCCTGCCTGTGATTCCATCGCTAAGGGGGGAGCCGACGGGGCACAGGGCGGCCCCCAGAGGGTCCGTCCTCCTCACCCCCTCTGCCTGCCACCCCACCTGGCCCTTTGTGTCAGAGGCTGGGTGTTCTATGGCAAGGAGCCTGTGCGTTGACGGGACATTGTCCTTCCGCTCACTTGTCTTTCTGGCCCTCAATTTCCTCGTCTGCACAATGAGGACAGTAACAAAACCCACCCCGCAGGGACGGTGTGTGGATTAGCTCTGGGAGCAAAGAAGTCTTAATTAACCATACACTTTTGCCCTGTCCGAGATTCGTTGGAGCCAACTGGGAGACAAAGCAATCAGGCAGACGGGAATGGAAATGCATTATTAGCTTTGTTACTTAAAACAGAACAAAAGGCTGGATTCAGAAGAACATAGCTCGATTGTGCAGCAATAATAGCTTCCTAACGGCAGGCTCTGGGGTTAGGCCACCGCCTGGCCACCAGCAGCAGTGACCCACGCAAGCCTCTCCAAGGGGCTGCCCCCAAGCCTGGCGGCTGGGAGGAGTTGCCATACTGTGTGCCCGGAGTGGCCAGAGGGCTCAGAAGCTGTGTGCGTATGCGTGGCATGCTCCAGCAAGGAAGGATGCTCTCCTCCTGCAAGGGGCCACGAGAGGCTGGAGGCCAGAGCCCAGGAGGGTCTAGGAAAAGTCCCTCCTTAGGACGCTAGGTGCAGGAAGGGTGCATTCTGCACCCCGTCCCATCCAAACAGGGTTTGAATCCAGGCGTGGATTCAGTGCACAGTGACTGCTAGCCATTACAATTCTTACCACTAGTAATTTCCCAAGCCCTGCGTGCGCGATGTGCCAGGCATGGGGCTGGAAGCTGGAAATGCAGCAGTCCGCAGAGAACGGGCGGTCCTGCCGCCTGAGCCTGCAGCCCCCCATGCTCGCCGCTGCGGGATATCCGGTAATCCAGCAGCTTCCTACACCTCAGTTTCCCCCGCGGAGTCCTTAAAAGGATGCCAGGAGATAGTGCGTGCCGCGTGCGCCTCCCTTCATCAGGTGGTGTAATAATACCTCAGCTTTGTTCTTTTTCCCCTACCTCGTCCCGTCCCTGCTCCCGGAGGCGTGAGTCCTGCTCCACCAGGTAGGGTGTAAACGGTGGGTGTTTGCAGGTGTCCTGGATCTGGAGGAAGTTCCCTTCCACTCCTAGTGTGCTGAGACTTTTTTCCAAAAATAGGCGTTGGATTTTGCTAATGGTTTTTTAGCTTCTATTGAGATGATTGTTGGTTTTTCATGTTTTGCTTGTTAATGTGGTAAATTACTCTGATTGCTTTTTAAATGTTAAACCAACCTTGTATTCCTGGCATAAATCTGCCTCGGTTGTAAAATATTATCCTATTTACATACTATTGGATTCAATTTGCAAAATTTTGATTAAAAATTTCACATTTAATTTATACCAGAGATTAGGTTATAGCTGTCTTGCATTTATAACAGAGATTAGGTTATAGTTGTCTTGCATTTGTAAGAGATTAGGTTATAGCTGTCTTGCATTTATAAGAGATTAGGTTATAGCTGTCTTCCTGCAGATGTGAGGTTGGCAGAAACCCCAGATCCTCCTCTCTCTCTGCTTCAGCATACTTAGTGAGTGGTGTCTGTCTTCAGAGTCACAATGTGGTTGCTGCAGCTCCAACTAGCAGACCTGCATTCCAGCCAAGAGGAGGGGAAGAGCAGGATTTCAAAGGGGTGAGCACCTGCTGCCCACCCCCCCCCCACCAAGGAACATTCCGGAGAACCACTCAAGCACACCCACTTACCCCTCACTGGCCCGTCCCTGCAGCTCCAGCGGCATCTGCTTCTCCCTTCAGCCTGTCTGCCGGGGTCTCACCAAGCTCACCCCTTCCCCAGCTCAGCTCCACACCTGACTTCTGCACCCCCACTCCTCCCCACCAGAGGAAGCCTGGCTCTTTCCCTAACCGAGGCTCATTCCCCATCACTCCACACATGGGGAAACGGAGGCCCCCAAAGACAGGGGCCCACCCACGGGCACTCACAAAGTTAGTGACCCAGCAGGGCGACCAGGCCGGCCAGAGCCCTTGCAGGCACATTCTGTCTGGCTCTCTGAAGATGACATTTGGAGGGGATGATGGATGCATCTAGGACCACCCAGTGAGCTGTCTCATGGCCTGTGTGCCAGGCGCCCCAAGCCCTCCGGAAATGTGGTTGTTGTCCTACTTATTGTGAACACTCTCGTTCCCTCCCCACACGTTCCTCTGCCCCGACGCAGACCAGATGTGGCGCTGAGCTGGGGCTTCCGTGAAGATTCCTTTTGTCTTCCCAGAAAGCGCTGCTTGCACAGCTGGGCTCTGGGAGGGCAGCCGGGCCACCCATCTCCTCCTTGGCTGGGGGACACTAGGACACAAAATGGGACCTAAGGGCAAATGACATGAGGGCATGGGCAGGACCCACCCCACACCCCTTGTCAAGGTTGCAAAGAACGCAAGAAAGTCTTTGATGAATCTAGAGCCGCCCTGTCTCCTGCCACCTCTTGCCCATTTGACGGGTGGGAAGCCTGAGGTTCCCAGAACGGCCTCGTCCGGGCTGCTGTGGCCACAGGGGTCAGGGCCTGGTTACGAAGCTGGCTGTGAGCAGGGCCACCTGCCCCACGAAGATGCTTTCTTGGGCCTGGTGATCCCCCCGGAGCCCTCGCTCCCCCTGGCTGTCTCCCCTCCTGGGTCAGGGCCCCCCCCCGCAGGCCCTTTGCCCCCGCTGCCCTTACACGCAACTGAAGCCAGGCGGGCAGAATCAGAGCCCTTTGCAAGCGCCAGCCGGTGCAGAGAAAGCGTCCTTTCAAGGCAGAAAGGTTCCTGAATGCGACTCAGTTCTTGGAAGTCACTTTTTCCTTCTCTGTCTGAGGAGAGGAAAGCAGTTCCCTGGGCGCCTGGTCTCCCGCACATCCTGCCAGAAGCCTGTGCCTCGTGGAAACCCTGAGAACACAGGCTGCCTCCCAGGCCGGGCCTGCTGCTGACGTGGCCTTGGGCCTGGGCCACCACAGGAGAGAGAATGCGGGGATCTTCCAAAAAGCTCTGGGAAGGGGCCGTTTATGCGCAATTGCCCAGCGCCCTCCTGGCTGGCCTCCAACAGGCTGTCTCGGGGGGCTTTCTGGGCAGGGGCTGCCCTGCCCCCACTCTCATTTGGCCCTTCGGCCCACGGATCCTGCAGGGTCTCCACCCCAGGGCTCCCCAACAGCCCTGCCACCCCCTCCTTCCTTCCCTGAGAAGCCCGGAGGTGCTGGCTTGGGCACCCACCTTGTGCGGGTCAGGGCGGAAGAGTCTGACCCCGGTGACTCAGGAGAGCTTGGCTCACCCCACGGCCCGTGCTCCCATGCAGGCCGCTCCCTCCTGCAGCAGAAGACTGGCTCAGCGAAGGGGTATGGCCACAGCAGGACTGTCCGTGTCAGGGGACTCGGGGCACCTGGCTCGTGTGCAGTTCTCAGATGAGGACTCAGAGGCCCAGGCTCTGCACACAGCAGGATGGTGACGGGGCTGAGACATGCCTGCCACTGTCTCTGGGGTAGGAGACCCTGCACTTCCCTTCCACATGGCCTGGTGCTGGGGGAGGGGAGAAAGCCACACCAGGGTCCGGTTTCAACATGCCACGATCACCACTGGATAGAAATGAGGTTTAAAATAAATTTCTGGATGAATCATTGCACCAGGAAACGTCCGAAACTGCCTGGGTCCGCTGCAGGCTTCCGTCCTGTCTCACCTGTCCCAGGGCTTCCTGCTGTCTCCATCCTGAAAACCTGTAAACAATTCAGCGGCTCAGGATTCGGCACCGATGCCCTGCCCGTGCGTGACAACAGTGGACCCCAGGCCACTTGGCACCCCACTGACGGCTGCCTGGTGATCGTGACCGGTCGCTGAGGACTTGGCGCTTTGTGCTGTTGCTTGTCTCTTCACGATCACTCTCTTCCCAGACAGCAATAGAGTGGGGGCTGACCCACCATCAAGAAGAGGTTCCATCTGCACACCAGTCCCTGGCTCAGTAATTAAAATCAGCCGGCAGAGAAGCAGGTGACTCAAAAAATGGTGTGCGGTAGTGCGGGTTACATTGTTACAAGGTTACATCGTTGCAAACGTCCGGAGGGACCTCCCGGCAGGATCACACGGTACCTGGCACGTGGGATGTCCTGGTTCAACAAACCTCTCCTAGGAAGAAAGGATGGATGGGTGGGTGGGTGGAGGGAGGGAGGAATGAGGGAAGAAGGAAAGATAGATGGGTGAGTCGATGATGATGGGTGGATGGATCTTCCTGGAGTTCACAGCCTGGAGCAGGGAGAAGAGTACACTGAGCACCACCAGAAAGCTTCTCTCTGTGTCTCCTGCCAGTGAGCACTGGTCAGCAGGAGAAAAGCAGTTTGTTTACAGGTGGAGGACAAGGTTGGGGCAGCCGGCGGCCTCCTGTGGAGCACCGGGGTCATGGAGAGCCTGGGGTGGATGCTGGGCACGGGACCCAAGGCCACACGGCCACGCAGCGTGCACCCGGCGTGTCCACTCCAGCTGTGCTCGCCCACCTGCAGTGCTGGCCACGCCCTGGCTTCTGGGTCTCTGAGAAACGGTGAGCCCGACCCTTCAATAACATGGGCCTTGCACATCACCATACTGTTTGCCACGCCCCCTGAACACCTACCGTGTGCCGCTTGCTGATTAAAGCAGGTCTATCTTCCCCGACATATGAGGGGAACTGAGGCTCAGCGAGAGACGTGTTGTGGGCAAGGTCACAGGGTGCACCGAGATGGGGACCTAGGAACGCCACGCAACATCTCGGGTGATTCTAGCTGAAAAGCTGATCTCACATGGGGTGGGGGTCCCGGGCACCGTGCCAGCTAGCCAATCAAAGGTCAGCTGCACAAATATCTCTTGAGCTGCCAGGGTGAGCCAGGCTCTGGGCTGGACTCCAGGGGGACGGCCGGACAGGACACAAGCCTCTGCTCCCAGAAGCTAAAGTGGGCACGGCCCACATCATCCCACACTGGGGAGAGGTACTGGAGATGAGGCTGAAGGGAGCAGGGAGCGATTTGGGGAAACAGTATTGCAGGAGGAGAGATACCCTGCTCCCTGAGCTAGGAGCAACCCTACAGCCCTCGCCTCCTACATGACCTTTAGGCTCGTCCCAAAGGCAACCTCCCCCTGGAAGCCTCCCTGACTCACCCCTCCCCAGCCTGGGTCTGGCCCTTCCCTGGGCTCCCCCGGCCCCGGCTCTGTGTCCCCAGCAGCCTGGGAGCAGCCTGGGGGTAGGGGCTCTGTCTGCAGCACCTGCACCCAGAGCAGGCCTGGAGATGCTGTGTGTGCCCAGCGCATCCACCATTTTAGGGGCCTGGGGCCAAGAGTGAAGCCAGGACGTGAGTTACCGGCCGCCCCACACTCGGTGGCAAGCTCCCTGCGGCCAGCGTGGCTCAGCGTGGATTCTTCCCCGTCGTAGCCTCCGGGCCGAGGGCAGGACTGGGCCCGCAGCAGGTGCTCGGTGAGTTATCTGTGAAATGAAAGAACGTGGACGCAGCATCACGCTGAGTCTCTGTATCACCTCACACCACCCTCCCCACAGACCGACGTGCTGGGACTTCTTCACCTGCTGGGGACCCTTCGTTTCCTTACTGTGCAGGCCTTAGTTTGGGGTGTTTTTTGGTAAATCTGTTAAGTATAACGTATATAGAGAAAGTACCAAAACTGTACAGCTGTATGAATTTTCATGAAGTGGACGCGTCCACGTGGCCGCCGCCTGCGCCCTTAGGCCCCCTGCCACCTCCCCCGGGACCAAGGTCCTCCTGAGAGTAGCCTCTGTCCTTTGTCCCCATGGGTGATCTTGCCTGGTCAGAGCTCAACGTAAGGGACACATGTAGGACCAAGCCTCGTGCGTGGCTTCTCTCATTCTGCCCCACGTCCACGACATCCACGCGACCCCTGTGCAGTGCTGGGTCACGTGACCTGCACCATTGCAGGATTCTCGTGTGTGTCCTCGACCACAAAGGGTCCGTCCACTCGCTGCTGATGGCACATAAGGGGGTTCCCCTCGGGGCTGGTCTGGGGGGACCCACACTCATCCCTGGAGGACATGAAACTGGAAACCCTTCACTCCAGGCTCACGGGGACGGCATCTGCACTCCGAGGACTTGTGGCGTCTGAGGCCCTAAAGGCCCTACTCTTCGGAGTTGAAGGAGCCCAGATCCCCTTCACTTTCATCTCTGCCTGTGGATGACCTTCTCTGAGTGTCAGGGGAGGGTCCAGGCAGCAGCACACACAGGGGTTAGTTATGAGTGGGCTCTTGGGTGGCCACCCGGATGCAGATCCCAGACTCCGCGGAAGACCCAGCCAGCAGCCCTCAGCCCAAGGCCGACACAATTAGTGTTAACTACTCTTCTCACCTCCCCGAGCCCCGGGCTGTGTTTTTCTGGAGCTTCTGTCCCATTAAGAATGTCCCTTCTTTTGTCTAATCATTGATGGTTTGGTTGTGTCCTTCTAGAAATGACCAAGCCCAGAGCCAGGGCCACCCAATGCTGCGCGTCCCCCTCCCCGCCAGGGAGACAGCCCGAGAGTGAGCCGCCCACCCGGACGCATATGCCCGTGCTCTCTGTAAGCAGATGTCCCAGGAAGGATCCCCACACGCATGCACGCAGCAGGGGCAGCAGGGCGAGGTCCATCCCCACTGCCCTGGCTGGATCCTCCTTACTCTTGTCCAGGATGAGATCTCCACGCTGTGAGTTTAAGCTGTGGCCCAGACCCCAGTGCCTATGTATGGTCACTGCTGCCCGGTGTTCTATGTGAGGGTCATTCCTGACCTGCCTGGGCCTCTTCAGAAGGGAGCGTTACCCCCTGCCAGGGAATACTTCAGCACTTCACTAAGGCATCTTTCCAATGGAGTCAGCCACATCCATGGAAAATGTCGGATGGACTTGGCATGTGCCACCAGGCCCGTAAGTCCTCAGTAAGTGTGAACTACATCATCATCACTGTCTCTTCCCCCCTCGAACATGGGAGATTCTGAAGGACAAAGAACCGTGCCATATTCCTCTTTAGGGTTTCTGTATCCGACGTAACATGGGGGTCATAGCGGGTATTCAGCAAATGGTGGGTGGACGGATAA